TAATATATCCTATTCTTTTTAATACAACAAATCAAACAGTAGATAAAAAATCATGTCAGTAACTTAGCATATCTAATCTCATCATTATTAACATACCCTATTCAGTACTACTTCGACATAACTAATTCAACATTCCACATATCTTTTTTTTCCTACCAAAAGACTTGTATATTTCCCTAACATATGTATAGATATTTAAAGTAATATCATTGGAAATCCAGCTAGACTATAGAAATGGAAGACAAGATTTACATGATGTTTTTTTGAAATTGAAGTGGATGTGTACCTAGTAGGATTCCCTTAAAAAGATCAAACATGGTGAGTCAGGTTCAAAGTTGTTACAGCTGGAACAACTAAACAATTCCCAAACACAAACTAGCATAAATTGACATATATATGTACTAGTTACTACTCCTTCCATTCATTTTTATTCTTAAATTGACAAATAACAATGTTCATATCACTCAACTCACAGTGTTCGGGATAATTTCCACGTACATCGACTAATTTTATGGAATACATATCACCTCCCACCATAATAGGTATCAGGTAACTCTGTCCACCAAAGTTAGGATAGATAAGAAGAATTTATCTAGTGTTTTTTTTTGTCTTCGTTGAATTTTGAACCTGAGACCTCAGGGTTCTCAACCACTTCATTAACAACTAAGTCACAACACCGTTGGGTGCCTGATAATGTTATTATTTCAGAAAGTCATTTTTTTTTAATTTTAATTTTCTTAAATAAAATGTAATACTTTTATAAGATAATAATTATTAGTTGAATGGTTATCTGAAATATCAAACTCACAAAGCAACGTGAAACAAGTTAATAATCTTCAACTTACAAGTAGTAACAATTTAACTTTGTTGCGAAAGTTTATGAGTTAACTAGCACACAATCAATCATGCACAAAACATATAATAAAAGATATAAAACATTTAATGAGATTTAACCAAGTCTATATCATCAGAATAAAATTCGATTTCCACTATGAATTAAAAGAAGAATTAATATAAAAAATATCCAATTAAGGTTCATGAAAAGTACAAATAAAACTTATAGCTAATTAGTTTTCAAATCTGCTAATACCATACAAATCGAAGTCTGATGTACATGATCCACCTACACCATATATTATTTTACTAACATAATATATTTGCTAAACATATATTTGTCTCCAACTCACATAAATGAGATATTACTCCTATTTGATTGGATACGAAATTTTAAAAATAAAAAATTCAAGACACATGTAAAACATACCCTCAAAGAACATATGTTATTGAAGGTAAAACGAAAAGTTCAATATCAAAGAATTCTCGATATGAAAAATGTGTCATTCTTTTTAGAACCGATAGAAAAACTCTCAATCTTTTGATAGTTTAAGTTACATACATTATTAGTGTAAGAAAACTTCACACTATCACACCGTCATCTCTACTTGCTATACTATTTAACATGTCTTATTTTCAAAATTACGAATCTTACAGTTTGATAAGGAAACTTATCTGGATACATCCAGACATCCTTTTGGATGATCATCATAGATGGTATAAAATATCTTATACGACTGACGGTGTATATAACTTAAACTCAAAATAAAACATGAGTTTGAAGGTACCTGAACATAAGTGGATCACTTGAAATATTTTTTGATATTTGAGAGATAGACAAATTAGGATTGGCATGAAGTAACAAATATTCAACTTCTCCATTATCTCCATTTAATCCTATGTTTTTGCAACCATAACCATATGGATTTGCTGGACCAGCACATTGTTTTTGGGAATAAGGTTTGGAAAAAAATTTATAACTTTCATCTTCCATTTTTTTTATAACATTTGTGTCAACACCATGGTTAATAACTTTGAAAAACCCAAATTCTTCAGAGGCTTTCACTATGAGTTTTATTATTTGTGATTTCTCTAATGAAAGGTCAATGATTGGAAGCTTAATATTTTCTTGAATTTTTTCAGAAACCATGTTGGAAGTTGAGGAATTATAGTTATGATAAGATGAAAGAGAAGGGACAAAAAGAGAATTATGAAGAGGAGGTATTAATGATGAGGTATAAATAATCATATATTATATACATAGAAGATATATAAGGTACTAAATATATATATATATATAATAAGAGAAGAGGGGAATCTATGAGAAGGGAAAATGAGTGGCATTGTATGGGGACAAGGGTTGTGTGTTGACTGGGGTCTATTGTTCTGTTCATCTCGACTTGGCTCATTTCAGTTTAATTATTAATGTTTTAATAAATTGATAATTCATTTATTTATTAACGGATGATTTATGATAATGATCTTAGAGGTAGATACTTGAACTTTTATCGTCATGTGTTTCATAGATAAAAAATTTAATTTTAAATATTATTTCATGTGGTGAGCGAAATTCAAAATTAACACAACTCATTGGCAAGGTTGTCATTGAATTTAATTTCCTATTTAGATTATTAAATCTACATTTTAATCTATTCAAATTTAGCTCAATATAGTCGATTTACTTGATACTCTAGCTAGAGAACCACAAGAATCAAATGCATTTAATTTAAAAAGAAGTTGACTTTTAACTTTCTAATTTGGTTGACCAATTTTGAAAAAAACAATTATTATGTTGGCTTTTTGCGAGTGATCTTTTATATTTTTCTATTCTTTTTATTTGTTTTACATATTTAATCCAAAGATATGATGCTTTCATTCTACTTTGAAATGATTTATAACTTTTTTTAATGTAAAAATCAATTTAAGTTATATACAATATTGTTGGTCTAAGAATTTTTTATACTATCAAATCATTTTTGTATGTTAAAGCAGATATATATCTTCCTCTTTTTTTTAACTCGAATATCTCATGTGATATTTTTAAAATTATAAAATTTAAAAATATTTTAGTACGTTATATATTTCTATATTGAGACAATGATTAAAATTTAAAATTGCTCTTACTTTCTTAAATTATATATACAGTTAAACTAAGACGTATAAAATGAAATGGACCACGTATAAGTTTTGTACTTCAATTTAAAACATTCACAAATGAAGATAAATATTTGGAAGAATTACATAAAAGGGTCAAGACGATTGCCAATTGGTGTGTGCGACTTCTATCGATCAATTAGATTGACTCAATCTAATTTTATTTAATTTTAGAGAATAACATCATTTGTCTAGATATTTCCTATTGTTAATTGATTCGAAGAATAACTTAATCGTTACTATAAAATATTGAGATAGTAGTTGGTTGTTAAAAAAATGTCTAATTATAAGTAGAAAAGAGTACTAAACTACTAATAAATTCAATATATTCTCTATATAATAGCCAATAATTGCATACTACAAATGTTTCCCTAATTGTTCTAAGGTGCAATTATAGACGAATTGAATTATTACTCATTTTTATATCGCAAAAATTTAATTCAACCCGCCTATTTAATACCTAATGGGCATTTGCCAGGCTGATACACTCATTCCTTTTATTCTAATTGTAGAAATTGGTATGAATAATAGAAAGAGTCTTCTGGTATTTTCTACTTCTTGCAGCTGGCGTTTATTGCTTTTTTTTTGTTAGTTTGCAAGCATGAATTCCAGCTGAGCAAATAAGTCAGTCGTAGGGGTGTCAAATGGATGAGTTTAATTAAATTTGAACGAGTTCAAATTCTGGAAATAATACCTTAATAAAATAGGTAGAATAGTGGATAGTATTAGCATATCAATCCAATATCAAATGCGAATATAAAATTTGAAGTTTATGGGTTCTGAACTTATTATCAAACTCCGGATTTTTAATACAAATACATAGTTTAATCAAGCATTTAAATTCGTATGTATCTGTGGATAATATAATGAAGATTGGGGATAATACAAAGTCAGGCTAATCCTAAGAAATTTGTGATTGTGGGCTAGCCCAACCCAATTCAAGTTGGTCTTGGGCTATTTAGGAGAAACTATCTAATTACACAAATATTTTTACCATATTTACTAATTCTCTATATAGTTTGAAATAATTATATTTTTAAATCATTAATTAATAATTTCATAACAAATTTCAAGTGAGATACGCCTTGATACAAGTTTTATACACCTAGATACATATTTTTTGTTATCAAATACATTGAAATAGGGAAAGAGACGAGCGAGAATAGGATGGAGTCAAGCGACATTCGTCAGATATGTGTGAATCACACGTAATACACATGTATCCGTATGTATGTATCTGGGATACCAGGTACCTAAGTGAGTGGCAAGCGAGATGATAGGGAGGCGAGCGAGATTCGTCTATGTACCCCAGATACATGCAAATCTACTTGAATACAGTATATCTAAAGCAAATTACACCTAATTCTAACTTCATGTATCCCAAAATATATGTATTTGAACGCACCAAACTGAAATGATACATAATATTACAAACTAACATACATCTACTTAATTAACTTTTAAACTAGGGGAATTTCAATGAGTTACCCTTCTTTTTTTCTTGCTTCTTTTTGTAAAACATTGTGACCGCGGCAAAAGGAAAGTGTTGAGTATGAATCCGATCAAACTCAATAGATTTAGTTCAAATTCTATGTTGGTAGTACCACCCCCTAAAAATAGGTTTTGTAATATGTCATCAGAATTTAGTCGAAGCTCCAATCCAAACACCAGACACGGAGTGGGAAAAAAAAAGGCATGAAGCCAAAAATAAAAGTTTATACTAGTAGCTACGCCCCAAGAAATATAGCGGTACCGCTTACTCGCTAGAAGTCGGCATGGCTTACATTTGTAATTACGTAAAACAAAACAAAAATACAAAAATAGAATAGAAAACTCCAAATTATAAATTAACTTTTGATCCAAAAGTTTTTCAACTGCCACTTTCCCACCTATACTTTTAGAAACTTCAATTTTATTACACATACAACAAAATAAAATTTCATCATTAAGTAATAAAATTGATAAATAAATAGGTCCTTACTTCTTTCTTTCTTTCACATTTAGCTTCAAAAATGATACTTGTTTCTTTCTTACTACTGATTTTGCACCTATTGAGTTCAAGTTGTGATGAGTATTTTATAAATGATAAGAATAATGTGACTAAATCAGATGTGGATTTATTAGAATTTCCATTAAATTTAGAGTATATGGAAGCTGAATTTTTCTTGTGGGGTTCTTTGGGGTATGGCTTAGATAAGTTTGCACCTCAACTTACTGATGGTGGACCAAAGCCTATTGGTGTTAGGATTGCTAAACTTAGCCCTCTTATAAGAGATGTCATTGCTCAATTTGGATTTCAAGAAGTTGGACATCTCAGGTGCATTTCCATCTTACTTTTCCTCGTTTTAATATGTTTGTCTGATTTTGACTTGTCACTAAGTTTAAGGAAGTAAAGAAAGAAGACGTTTGAATCTGTTAGTCATAAACTAAAAGATAGGTGAAATGTAACGAAAAACCTTTCATCTTCTGATCTTTAACATGTCATATGGAAACGAACAATTTATGCAGGGCAATCAAGGAAACAGTAACAGGATTTCCAAGGCCACTTCTAAATCTAAGCAGAGAATCATTTGCAACAGTGATGAATGATGCATTTGGACATCCATTACAACCATCTTTTGATCCTTATGCTAATGACATCAACTATCTCCTTGCCTCTTATGTCATCCCATATGTTGGACTTACTGGATATGTTGGAGCCAATCCTAAACTCCAGAGTCCTATTGCCAAAAGAGTAAAAATATTGTTTTGACTAGATTATTTATAATATTTTTTCAAGATGAATGATCTGATTGTGTAAATATTTCGATGACAGCTAGTAGCAGGACTACTAGGAGTAGAATCAGGTCAAGACGCAGTTCTAAGAGCTTTGTTGTACGAGCGAGGGAGAGAGAATGTGGAACCTTATGGGATAACGGTAACAAAGTTCACGAATCGAATATCGGAGCTGAGGAACAAGTTGGGACGCCAAGGAATTAAAGATGAAGGACTTAGAGTGAAACCAAAAATAGGTGCTGAAGGGAGCATAAGGGGCAACATACTTGCAGGTAGTAATGAAGTCAGAAATTTTGTTAAAAATATCAATATAGTTTTATATTAATAAAGAATGTTCAATTGACCATTCATCGACCGTGACTACTTGCAGGGGGCAAGTACTCGCTTTCCTATGACAGAACGCCGGAAGAAATACTCCGGATCGTGTACGGGAGTGGGCAGGAGAGTAAACCGGGTGGATTTTACCCGAATGGAGCAGAGGGTCGGATAGCCAAATCATATCTTTGAGTTGGATGGATGTAGTTAATCAGAAAAATGTAAAAATGTTACTTCCTGCCTATTGAATGTCTAATAATAAAGTGGGTAGAAGTGATGTTGGGTATATTTTTTGTGTTTTGATGTCAATTTATCCCCATTTTTTTTCTTCATAATGAGATTACCCATAAAATATGTCTAACTCATAGAACATCCTCGTCTATCTCATCCTGATAACCATACACCACTCAAAGTATTATGCATCTCCCTTGCACTCCCACATGACACCAGCAACAGCACTGAATGTGTCCAAGGTATAGCTGAAAACGAAAGAGATAACACCTACCCGCCTATAGTATACGTAAGCCTTTACACCGTCATCAAAAGTATTGATATTGAACGTTCCATGACGTTTATGTTATATAATGCATCACCCCTTTAGACACGAACTAAAAATTAAGCAGTGTCATACAAAAAGAGTTGGTGTTTTTGCTTTTCTGAGACAAGATCTTTCGGAAACAACCTCTCTATCTGAGAAGGGGTAGAGGTATGATCTACGTATACTCTCAGATTTCAGCTTCTTTTTGAACTCCAAAATGAAGATTGGTGTGATATATCTAGTTATGCTATTGACCTCAACACAGAAAACAAGCAGAAGCAGCAACAATCTAGTAGAAACTAATGCAATAACACACCAAACTATAACCTCTGCCTAAAAACTCTGCTCCATGACGAACGCAGCGCCAGCGGCGACATCACAACGCTGGCATTGATCGTGGTGTATGCCATCAAAGCAAAGGCGAATCAAGGAGCAGAGATCATTTCGACGCTCCTTAATTCGAATCCTCCTGAAGAATTGGAGAGTTCCATTAAAAAAATGTGCTTTTTCATATAAGGTAATTTTGACAGTAAGTTTGCCTTTAGCTATTGAAGCTTTAACTAAAGGGAACCCAAAATTTGCTGAAGATGGCATGGTTGGATGTTTTGGAGATTCTCAGAATTGTGAGGAAAATTTCAAGAGTAGTATTTCACCTCTTACTTGTTTGAACAATGCAGTACATGAGCTTTCTGGTGTGGGCAGAGCAATTATTAGAAATTTATTATGATGTAATTTTTGTTTTCACTTCTTTGTTTTCTTGTATTTTAGAAGTATTATTTTGCGAATTGAAGGTTTTATCTCTCCATCTCATGAATAAATCAACCGCCGGCCAAATAGCCGGAATTAGAAGGAAGGAATGATTCAATCTTCGATCATTTAATAGCTCATGCCTCCTTTTCTGCCTTTCTATGTGTATTTCATTTTTTTTGTTGTTGGGGATTAGAGTAAGCTAAATTAGGTATTGCAAGGGTCAAATATAATACTTAAATGACTCGTTTGGTTTGGGAACAAGTTATCCCGCAGTTTTATCGATTTTATCCCAACCAAACATGGGACAAACTCATCCTAAAATTAATCCCTTATCCCTTGTACTAAACAAGTTCGAAGCATATAAATTATCCCCAAAAAGTTTCTGCCGGAGATCTCCATTTGACTTTTGATCTAATACTAGCCATTAGGAATGACTCTCATTTTTGCCTTTAACCTCTAATGGAGCTCGCATCCGAGGGTAGTTTTAAACCATAGTCAAAAGTGAGGTAAATGTGAGCCTTCTCCCTCGAAGAATATGGACACATATAGTGCTGGAACTCCGTTAGTGATAAGGGCAAATATGAGATGATTTGTTGACGATAAAGGCGTAAGTAGACCAAAAGTGTAACGTAACAGAGGGGCAAACCTGAGACATCCTTAATACTACAAGGTTAAATTTGTCTGAGATCAACCCTTAGAACCTACCACAGCCTTCTGTACTTGGGGATAATGGACTTTCTCCCTCTACCATTCTTCACTTAAATGCCAAGCTTAGTTCGTATGGTGCAAGGCTTCTCAAACCTCTGACCTAAGTCACAAGTCTCTCAACCGTTGCCGCTTGAACTAAGCCCCGGGGCAGTATTTCTGAAAGACACTAAAATCTTGAATCGTGATAATCTTAAAAGTTATTAACCGTTAACTTTTAGGCTTTGGAGCATGGTAATGCAGCAAGTACAGTATGTCTTCACTTAAAATACCAGGCTAATTCGCAAGGCACAAGGCTCCTCAGTCCCTCTAGGCAATCAATACATAGTTAATGCAAGCAAGCAAGTCAAACAAGGTACGGTTAGTAAACATGTTAAAATGGTTGATCTGAAATTACAGGGTTCTTGTTGTGAGTATATTATGCACAATTTAACTAGTCCAAATATCATAACATTTATCTACTCAGAACACACATGGAAATTAGGCATAGAAAGCTATTTTCCAATTTGAGACTAGCCAGCAATTGGCAATTCCGACTCATCCTTAAGAATGCTATGCCAGTGGTTATTCATCTCAATCAACCAGTATCAATCACTGTACAGGGTATACAAATTAGGCAGTCGTGCCAAGTCACTTACATAGAACTTCTTCAGGCAGGCGCAGCATGTACCATAAACATAGTGGAAATCGTATTCATATTTGCATAGCTCGACCATGTCACTGAATTTCAGCTTGTGATAATTTTCGGACTACTCCATGAGTTAAACCAGAAGCCTGCTCCACTGAACTACAGAATAAGAAGCAAATGAAAACTTAGCCAACTAGAATCATCCATAAGTACAGAATGTAAATTAGCATTTTCAGAGATTATAGAATTTTAGGGTAGTACTTACTCAGAAGAGTCAGACCTTGCGACGATGGCAGCACTGGTGGGTAAATTAGAGTCTTCCTGTACAATAATGAACCTATTCTCCCTTACCCTGCCCAGTTGGACTGAATCATAAAAGTTCATAGTTGAACTTCTATAAGATATCCCTGCATACAATATTGTCAACACCAAATCATCAGAAACTTTGCACCTTGAAACAAAATCTTGGTTCAACAGTATGAAGAAAAAGAGGGAAGGAACGATAAGGAGAAGAAAGAGAACAAAAGGTTGAATCAATTGCAAAAAATGTGGTTTGCAAGCAACACTTAATAGGAACAAGTATCAATATCAAGAGAAAGAAAGAGAACAGAAGGTTGAATCAATGAACATATATTTCATGCTCACTGATATTTTTGCATCTTTCTACTGTCATGAAGATGCTCACATAATAGGAACTGCTGAACTAGTATCTATATCAAGAGAAAGAAATAGAAGTTCCGAAACAAGAACAACGTTGGCATATGATTTTGCTTATGTGGTGGCAAGTTACAAAGCCATTATTAGCGTTATCTACTTAAGTAACACCAATATGTAGTCACTTAAAAGCATGAAACACAAAAGAAAAAACTGACTGCAGGTATGAAATGCAATTAACATGGCTTGACATGCTGAAGAATGAGGGAGTGTGTAAATCAATTACTTTAGCATGTGTTTTAGGAAAGTAAAGTCTGTCTCAACGAATAACGAGGAGGCAATCTTTTGGTGTGAAATTGCATTAAAACTTGTGCATTGATATATTTCCACTCTATAATAGGACATAGGAAACCCAAACTAACAAATCGAGATCTTTACCTTGAAACAATAGCACAAAAAAGAAAAAAATAGTAAAGAGCAAGGCAAGGGAACTGCCATTCAATGCTGCTGAAGGAGGCGCCGCTTTTGCTGCTTTCAGTTTCTTCAAAGCCTTCATTCGCTCAATCCGTGCACGTTTAATCGTTGCGAGTTCCGCAATCTCTTTAATCAATTTCTGGTCAGCAGCATCCAAAGACAATCCTCTGGGAGGTCTAGGCGGTTTGGGAGGCTTCTTAGCACTCGTGGATTTACGTTTTTCTTTGCTTTTTTTCTTCTCTACTAAGCTTGCCTCATCTATACACACTCTAACACTCCCCCGAGTAAGCTCATCCCCATCCTGTGTATGGCTATTCATATTCAATCCATTTTCAGTTTTAGAAAGTTCTTCACCATCTCCGTTACAGACACTAGTGAAAAGTACATTCCCTGCTTTAGCATCCAAAGTAGAATTATTATTTCCGGCTTCTCCACTCGTACTCCTACAACTCTCAAGATCAACCTCAAAATCACTCCCTCTAGATAACATATGATCCATAAAAACTACACTCAACAAATCTCAATCTCGTTACACTTAAACTAAACCAAACTCATAAATCAAGAGATGCAGCCAGCTAATATCCGCTATCTGCTTCAAAATACCATCTGAAGTGGGAAAAAATAACAATTTTTTGCAAACGGTGTTAAATTCCAAAGGTTAGTAACAAATGCAACAAATTTACGATTTGAAAAATATCCTATGAGCTTCTACTGCTGAATTGAGTCAAGTGTATCAATTCTCTAACACTCTTTCTTTTTTGTTGAAGTGTAATCCACTCAGTCTAGGTACTAATCAGGGGCATAGCAAGAAGTCCATGTAGTAGCTTTAGTTTAAACTCTGATTTTTTTTCTCCACTGCAATCTGGACCTAACCTCATGGTTCTCAACCCACCTCATTGACCACTGAGTCACAACCTTGAGTGCTCAAACTCCATATCTATATTAAGAAATTCACTAAAATACGTACAAAAGTTAAGTTCGAAATCCAGTTGCTACTAACACCTGATGTCACTACTCTTTAGAACCCATAAAGTTCAAATCTTGATTCCGACTATGGTACTAGTACTTCAGAATTCAGTATAATTAACAACTATAGATTCACTACTGTAGGTTAAAAAAAAAACAGTACTGAATTGGAAAAGAAACAAGTAAAGATTTAAACTTTAGACACAAATGAATCCTACCATCTCAATAAAGCCAACAAAAGTAGTAGTTCCTTTTGTATTTTTTTAAATTTGGGGGCAGGGAAAATAGGGAAGGAGATTACAAAAACTGGGAATCGAACACTCACCAACAAGCATGAAAGTTCATATAGTCAACAACTAAACTACTAAGATTCCCAACAGAAGTAGCTCAATATAATCAAATCATGATGAAACAGAAAACCCCAACAGCTAAAGAATGAACAAAAACAAACTTATTTATCAAATCAAGGCATTCTAAATCCTCTTCAATTAATGAAAAAAAAAAACAGAAAATTAGTGCTAAAATTCAGATGAAGTGAATTAGAAAAAAAAAGAATTAGGGAAAAAAGAGAGTACCTTGAATAGAGAATGAGAAAAAGAAGACAAGAAGCAGATGGAATAAAGTGAAGGGGGCATGAAAGAACTTTAAAATACTTGGAAGAGTCTTTGTTGAATACTAAAATATATTAGATCTCAAATAGTACAAGTTTCATTAAATGGGTGCCTGAATTTTTAAATCCTTTAATGAATGGTAGCCGACACACGTAGCCTTCAACCTTCATCGCTAATACTAGCACGGGTGTTCACGGTTCGGAAGAAAATATCTATATCTAAAAATCAAATCATAATCGAATCAAATTGATAAATTATATATATATTTTTGTCATTATATATATAATATGTTGTTTGTTATCAATAATTTTAAATATTTTATATATATTTTCATCAATCGCCATCATATTTATTTTAAAAAGAAAAAAGCCTATTAGGAGATATTTATATTGTTGGTTGCATGTATATTGGTGTTTGTGCAGTTCTTGATAGGACTGAAAATCTCACTGTCTCTTTCTTGTCTAGTTCAAACATGATGGATTTTGAAATTTTATTCACGATAAATTTAGTGATAAGTTCTGTAATGCTAGATATTCTAACTATTTTTCTTTATGAATGAACTGTTGTCTTCTTTTTTTCTTTTCAATGAATCATTTATTTTATTTTTGTTAATGATTAATAATCAAATCGTCGATTCAAATGAATGTATATGATATTTGGTTTGGTATGATTTTAATAATTTAAAAATCAATTAAGGCGACCAGTAATCAACTCAAACCGATCCGAAAATGCTCCTAACTATAAATAGTAAATTTGCACAATGACTCACGTAACATTCAAACTCTGAATATGACTCTAAGCTTCAATGTGAGATAGATATAGTTTTGTCCAGCAATACTGCTTTGTCAATTTATTTTTATTTTTAATATAAATATATATATATGTATAGTTCAATTTTAAAAAGAATTGTGTGTATTCTCTTATGATAATTGTGCAGATAAGTTAATTACTTAAAATATGTTATCTTCTTTAATTATATATATAGAAAAAAGGGTTATATTTGTCTCTGTAATCTCAAAAAAAAAAAAGTTATGTTACCACTTGTCATACTTTTTCAACAAAATTTTTTGTCATAAAATTTTAGACACATATTTATCCTTGAATTATTGATCTCTCTATTTCCACCCTTATTATCCTACATGACGACTACGTGTAATTCTTTTTCTCCTAATTTCAAATTCAATCACAATTAAAACTTAATCGATAATTTATCTGATCGAATAAACAAATATTAAACTAATTTTAACAAAATAAGAGTGTCCTCAAATGACAATCTACGTTAATCTCAATAAACCATAAAATTTTAAATATATTTAATAATTTAAATATCTAAATAAAATTTGCTTACGTAACAAAGTATTTACTTTAGCAAATCCAGTCACAAATGCCAACAATGGAAATCACACACAAATACCACTAAATTCCACAAAAGCACCACAAGTAATCCTAATGCTAACTTGACAAAACAAAACACTTCCTCATGCTCTCCACTTCCTTTACGATCCTAAAATAAAGCCATTTCTCATTATTTCATTTACTATTTTTAGTACTACTACACAAAACAAACTTTGAACAAATCATTCAAACAAACTAAATTTATCGTAAAGCTTCATAAATTTCAAATTCTGAATCTAACCTGTTTCGATACGTAGTATTAACAAATATGGCTTTGTGTGTGATGGATACAGCGCGAGCTTTAGCATGTAGAGATGGAACAGCAGCAACAAATCTCAAACTCATTTCTATATTCGTCATTTTCTTCACTAGTGTAATCGGAATAACGTTGCCGGTTTTTTTAGCCCGGTTTTTATTTCACGGCAAAACGGTTCACGATAAAGCGATTTTAATAATCAAATGCTTCGCCGCCGGCGTGATTCTCTCCACCTCGCTTGTTCACGTTCTTCCCGATGCATTCACTGCACTTTCCGATTGTCAAGTTTCTTCCCGTCATCCATGGAAGGATTTTCCGTTTTCCGGTCTGGTAACTTTGATCGGCGTATTAACGGCGTTGTTAGTCGATTTGACGGCGACTTCTCATGTGGAAAGTCATCAGAATCAGGCCGAAGGATATGCGGCAGTTGGGAATAGTGAAGAATTAGGGATTTTGAGTAAGAAAATTGACGTTGAACAGCAACAGAGAGAAGCAGAGGAATTGGTGAAATTGAAGCAGAGATTAGTATCGCAAGTTTTGGAAATTGGGATAATTTTTCATTCTGTTATAATTGGTGTGACTTTAGGGATGTCGCAGAATCAGTGTACGATTAGACCTCTTGTGGCTGCACTATCTTTTCATCAGATTTTTGAAGGGATGGGTCTTGGAGGTTGTATCGCTCAGGTAATTTTAACGTAACTGACAAAGTTATTGTTATGTGATCAGGAGATAATACCTTCGATATAAATAAATGTTCACTTGTAGAAATGCAGGGAAAAACTGCGTACAATAGACATCTCAACTCGTCTCTATTGTACAATAATGATGAATTGAGATGTCTAAATGTGCAGTCTCAAAATTAAAGTATTTACTTATTAGGTTGAGATCAAGTTTGAGTATCTACTTTTTATGTAATTATGTCTAACTTTTTATATAAGTAGGTAATGATTGGCAAGCTAAAGAATTGGTAAGAAAACTTGTTATATATAGCAAATGAAATTATACTAAGAGCTTGATTGAATCAACTAATTAAAAGTAGAAAGTAAGTAACATAAGTGTTGGGGAAAAAAATTATGTGCTAAAGTTGATTTTATTAATACGGAGTTATGTGTTTGAATAGAAGTATTTGAAACTGCTAATAAGGAGTTTGCGTGTTTGGTAAAAATTGGTATAACATGTTGTTATAAAGAATATATAATATAATATGTTACAATGGACAGTTATTACAAAGAAGTCTGACTGTTGTTTTATTACAGGCAGGATTTAGCTTTGGAACAACAGCATATATGAGCTTCATGTTCTCAGTGACAACACCAATGGGTATAGTATTGGGGATGATAGTTTTCTCAATGACAGGATATGATGATACAAGCCCAAATGCATTAATCCTTGAAGGTTTATTGGGATCTTTATCTTCTGGTATACTAATATACATGGCCCTAGTTGATCTTATTGCTCTTGATTTCTTTCACAACAAATTGATGAGTGGCCAATCATCCTTGAAAAAAGTATCTTTTATAGTTCTTGTTCTTGGATCTACATCTATGTCAATCCTTGCTCTTTGGGCTTGAAAAAATATAGTGCATTTTAATAAACTTGTGTATCCTTTGTTACTTGAAACATGTATTCAATGTAATTTCATAAGCTGTGAAGGTTATAGTATACATAGATCTTATCCCTAACATGTAGAGATAGAGAGATTGTTTCCAATAGAATTTCGACTTAAAATATAGCATTTTCAAGTAGTTTGAAAAAGAAAATATAGAAATGAGAGCAATAAAAACAACGGAATAATGTACCATGGGAAAAGTCATGTCATGCGCGCATTAAGTAATAAATTGACACACAGAAAAAAAAAAAAAAAAAGGTTTTGTAGGTAGTCCCCCTATCTCAAAGTTAACTACATGGTTGAAATATGGTGGAATAGGGGTACCATCCACATTTCTAGGTACTTGGGGCTTACCACATAGTTTTAACTAATTAATGTAGACTAAATTCAATAAAAGTGGAAAAGGCGTGTTAATAGTATGTTTGACTAAGCTTTTATAATTATTTAATTATTTTTAAAAAAAAAATCTATCTTTTGTTTTTCGAAAAAGTACTATATACACCAAACAACTTGACATATAGATGATTCATACTAGAAAAGTAAAGTCCTCATAAGCTTTCCACTTGTGGAAACTTACCTTTAAAATTATGTAATTTCTTCACAACTTTTCATCTTTGGCAAGCATATCTTTAATTTGGACAAGGATATATAGGAAAATGGTGATAAAGAATTGTTTATTTTCCAAGAAGATGAATTTTTTTAAGGAAAAAAAGAACTATGGTAAGATATGAATTTCATCTAGTATAGGATGAAGCTAGATAAAAATATGTTATACTTGATAAGGAAACAAATCTATCCATATTGCTCAATATTTACGTCAAAATTGATTTCTTTATTAGCTCACTTTATAGGAAACCCTAACATGCATGTTGGACATTATATAACTTTTTTTTTCTTTTGGTTTCCATTCGTTATATGGTTTCCATTTTGAGACCTGACTAATTAATTCAAAACCTTGATTAAGAATGAAATAATATATATTTACTGGTCTCAACACACTCAAAGTTGTGACAGGAAGAACTACATGTATGCAATTCAAGAGGAGCTCATACACTACATCAAAAATAATCTTTAGCTACAATTAATTAACATCAATAGCTTTATTGACACTAAATATGTATTTTTAGCTGCATTTAGCACTCTTTGTAAATGTTCCTAAAGCCTATAGCGACACTGGATCCAATGACAATTTACTAATCCGGTAAAGGCTTTATCATTGTTTGTTAATGTGTGTATATTGCCGCTAAAGGTAGTTTTTGTTGTAGTGATAAATGAGTAAAATGAGATTAATTTGATGAAAGACAAATTTTACTACAAAGAATTCTACAACATGAAAAAAAAAAATAACACCACTTAATAAAAGAACTTGCTACTATCAACTTACCTAAAAACGTTTCAAATAAATTGAGATCGACTATATAACTCGTACTCACTTTTCCTACCCTTCTATAATATCACTTCTTATACGTGATGACACCATATCTTGAAGAAGTCCATGATCATCTTTAGCCAAAGAGGAATTAGAAGAATTCCAAAACCTTTTTTCTTGTAGTGAATTATTAGTTGAAAATAAGGAAGAGGAATAATCACCATAATGACTTCTTCCTCCACTATCACCACCACCAACGCGGCCACCATAGGTGGTGGTTACTGGCTGAACTCCGACCCATCCACGTGGCGTTAAAGGGCATGGATGTGTGTGTACATCTTCATAAGTTGTAACAACTATTGAAGTATCTTGAATTGATCTTTCTACTCTCTTTTTCACACCACATGATGATGTTG